GTTTTTCCAGATGACAAATGGACTGAGTTTAAATAGTGAGCATTAGGTGACATGTATTGGTTATACAAGATGATAAGCCGGCGGAACAAAGGCTGACTCAAAGCGGCGTCCACAATCCACAGCTGTGCCACCAAAAAGCAGACGTTCGAGCGAATCCCTGCAGCTCCTCGGAGCCAAAACACAAAGAGAGGAGAGCCAAGAGAGAAAATTGCCTGCAGCTGGAGTTAATCAGCCGTCACACCTGCTGCCAATCGCAGCTCATTGCAGCAGCAGGTGACCTCCGGCAGCAGAGGAAGGTTAATGGTGTCGGCGTGTCTGCTGGGGTTTCTGGCCTCCTGACTCGCCGGCCGGCTGCATGTCCACTCCGATAACTGGACGCCGCTTCTGTCCCGACCTGTCGACAGCTTTGACCCCCCCCACGCCGCCACCTCCACATGTGATTAATGCACTCGTCTCCGCGGGTGGATTCACACCTCGTTTGTCATTATTATTTCGGCTGCTGAGTGTTTTCCCCCAAAACAGCTCACTGAAAAACTGAATACAGGTGCTTTTCTGGAGACTTTATAATGAAATCATCCGCTTACAGACACTAAAACTTGAACCATGCCTTGTAACTGTGTATGCTATATAATACATTTGAGTATATTATATCCTACCAAACAGGTATGAGTCTACAGGTGTGTTCTATTCAATTTGATTTATATAGCGCAGTTCACAACATGTCATCTCACAGCACTTAACATCGTAAAGTATAGACCTTCCAAATTTTAATCCAACCATCCAGAGTTGCCTTTGGATTTCCTCTGAGCAAGTGGTCAGCAACAGTGGGAAGGAACCAAAAAAATCCAACAGAACCAGAAAAGGCGGCCATCTGCCTCAACCGGTTGGGGTGAGAGTGGAGATGAGGAAGGCTAACATTACTCAGATATGCCAAATTTAGGCCATGTTTACACATAGCTGGATTTTTACAAAAACGGATCTACGTTTTCAAAAATGACATCGTTCACACCAGATCGTTTTCAAAAAAATCTTCGCTCACGCAAACCCGCATAATGATGTCATTAGAGGCTGCTATGAGCATGCCAAACCTATAGGGGGCAGTGTAATGAGAAGCATAATCAGAACCCTTGAAAAAACACAACAACGAATGGCACGAGTTACTTCCTGTTACTTCAACGAGAATGGCGTGAGGGTCATTTGTTTGGACTGACAAAGTGGAGCTACTCCTAAATGTGGTGTTAGAGGAGAAAACAAGTACAATTCTTGAAAATATTGACTTTCTATCACAGTAGTCAAACTACAAACATGGTTGCATACATATGGCGCTGATGACGCTTATTGTTCGCATACTGTGACGTCAAACTCCTCCTGTCTACATGCAAGCTAAAGACAGAGTTTTTCCAAATCTCCACTTTGACCAGAATTTTTTAGATATGATTGTTTTCAGTAACTCGTAGCTTCGTTTACGTGTAAACCAAAGGCCCAAATGCGTTGAAGTATCACTATTATTGTTACGTTTAAACGGGTCCTTAGATTTACAGTAAATTTCTGTTTGACCAAAAGGATTTTTCAGGCTGAAAATGGCATAAACAAGCAACAAAATACAGTCAGACTTTATGTTAGAGATGCTAATGATGAATTTTAACTTTTTCTGCTGTTTTAAATGTTTCATGTCCAAAATTTCTCATATGCCTGGGAATGATGGGTAATGATGGGGCAAAAAGCAGTTTCTATTGCATTTCAAATGGTTTAGGTCATTTTTTTTGCATGTTCTAGAGCGTTCTAATCCACTATAAACTGAGAACAGCTGATGCAGTAGTTCTGTAGTCAGTTAAAGTCAACTGCAAGTCATTGATAAAACCAAAGAGCTCATGGAAGAACTCCATTTGTGCAGTGATGCTGCTCACAAGATGTTTAAAGGCTACCAAGTCATCCATCCATCCATCCATCTTCTCCCGCTTATCCGGAGTTGGGTCGCGGAGGCAGCAGCCTTAGCAAAGCCGCCCAGACTTCCCGATCCGCACACACCTCCCGCAGCTCTTCCGGGGGGACCCCTAGGCGTTCCCAGGCCAACTGGGAGACATAGTCCCTCCAGCGTGTCTTGGGTCTTCCCCGAGGTCTCCTCCCGGTGGGACGTGCCCGGAACACCTCCCCAGGGAGGCGTCCAGGAGGCATCCGGAAAAGATGCCCGAGCCACCTCAACTGGCTCCTTTCGATGTGGAGGAGCAGCGGCTCTACTCCGAGCTCCTCCCGCATGACTGAGCTCCTCACCCTATCTCTAAGGGAGCGCCCGGCCACCCTGCGGAGGAAACTCATTTCGGCCGCTTAGTGCTTTCAATTTCCAGTACAAAGCATCATCAAGAGGTCCAAGGAGTTCCACACTGTGGAACATGTCAAAGGGCTGCAGGAGGACAGACATGAGCCCTGCACTGGAAGAATAGTGGAGGCCAAGAAGAACCCAAGGACCAGCACCAAGAGCATCCTGATGAATGTGAGCAGTTCTGGTAGCAACATGTCAATCAGACACTCCAGCAGACCAACAACAAGGCTGGTCTCCAGGGACGCATGGGAATTTTTTGACTAAAGGTTTTGTTTCGGTTTGCTTCGCTCTGGTGCGGTTGTCCTCTAATCGCAAGGTTGGTGGTTTGATCCTCGGCCCCTCCACAGTGGAAGTGTCCTTGGGCAAGACACTGAACCCAAAGTTGCTCCCAATGGCAGTTCTGGCACCATTGGTGTGTGAATGAGAAACACATTGTACAGAGTTTTGAGTGCCACTATAGCAGAAAAGTTATTTGCATTGTTTTTTCAATTTGCACATTTTATACATTTATTTTATTTTATTTTAATTTCACTTTATTTTTATTTTTCATTTTTTAAATAGTATTTGACTTTCGCCCTTTTCTGTTGTGATTGGTGTTTTTTCTTTGCTGCTGCTGTATCACAGTAATTTCCCAGGCCTGGGATAAATAAAGTATTTTTCTATTCTATTCTATACTATTCTATAGACCATTTACCATTGTTAATGAAGCTCTGGCAGCAATCTGTTGAGTAACATGTCATTATATCAGATGTACCAGCATGAACCTCTGAGAAAGGACCTTGTGTAGAAGGTAAACTGCTGTAGCTGCAGAAACAGTGTCCTTAACCAACCTAAACACACACATACAACTTATTAATTTTAATCAATATATATAAGTCAGACTGCTTCACACCACAGAAACAGCTTTATCCTTTAATATTCAGTTGTGTCCTGGGTAACAGTAAGTAAAAAAAAAAGCTGAGTTAAGGTCACCCTGTCCCTTAACTGTTCCTTCCCAGAACAGGTTGCATGCTGGGTAAATAACAGCCAGCTCAGATAAGTTGTGTTTAAGAGAGTCAATATTGTACTGTTCTGTGTGATGCAGAGTGACAGTGGCTGTGTAATCAAAATAATGTTATCGGCTTCATTTTATCAGCTCTAATTACACTTTACTGAAGGGACAGATGAGGAGAATCAAAGACAGAATACTGATCAGCATGGATACCCAAACAACTTCCTGATGCTGTAGCTGGAAAGAGCTGCTGCTGTTTTTCATATATTTTAGATTAGTATTGTTGTTATAGGTGTCCTTGGTGTCTCCCACCCAAAAAAGCAGAAACTTCTCGTTGCCAAAAACACTACACCAATGCAGCAATGCCCTCGTCAAGTCCTTTTCTTCAGCACTGGGTCTTTCTTCACTCCTAAAATATGATTTATGAGCTCATGCATCCACTGAATTGTTTGTGGCAAATGTAATTTTTGAATATGAGCAGAAATCTTGCTGAAACTCATATAAGCTTTTAAAGTCCGCGGGGTAATAGATTAATCCATTAATCACTGATGTGACCGGGTGCCATGTATACATTCAAAGAGGTTATTCCCAAAACAAAAAGAGGACAGAAGAGTAATTCCTGCTTGCATATGTGTTGATTCAGCAGGGAAACTATTAAATGAGAAAAGCTGATCATAGCAGAATAAATATTTGAAAGCAACACAGAATGAGCCATCAACTTGTCAGGGAGGGGTGAACTAAAAGTATTCAGGAAGACTCCAAACTTAAAAGTCCAAGTAAATCTTAAAAAAGGTAACTAATCCAAACACTGGCAGAGAACAAAGGCAATGCAGGACTATATGTACACAGGGGTCGAAACAGGAGACGAAACACAGGTGATGCACAAGACTGCAGGAAGCAAAATCGCAAGAGACACGCAAGGAAAGGCTATTTCAAAATAAAACAGGAAGTAACTGTAAAGGGACATGAAACCTACAGCTCGACAGAAAAGAGAGAAATCCCACAGAAATTCCACATGAATGTGTTACAAAAACAAAACAAAACCCAGGAACCATGGCAAGAATTATATAATAGCTACATTTTCTCTAAAATTTGAAGAAGCATGAATATTTTTTTTGTAACAAATGCCTCTCCAATGTCGTACACTGTATAATGACAATAAAGGGCATTCATTTATTCTAAAACAACCTAATAATAATTTTCATTCATCATTAACATCTCTTACACTGTCTTTTGTCACTCGTTATGTCACTTCCAGCAAGAAGAAACCCATTTGTCAAATAAAAATTCGCTGTAAATCAAATTTTGGCATTGACTTGGCAAATTTGAGGCTTAACTGTGGACTCGTGCATCCTTTACATATTTATTTTTTGTGATTTCTTAACCTGTTTGGTAAGACATGTGGCATTCGAATTTATTATATAATACACTCAGTAACAAGGCATGGCTAACCTATGGGTAACTTGTTTTTTTTTTACGTCTGAAAATGTGAAAAATGACTTACAAATAGTTAGAATTTGTCATTAACCTCTCTAGCACAATGTCTTATAGTCTTTTGTCATTTCCAGCCAGAAGAAACTTAATGTTTAACTAAAAATCCACTATAAATCTTTTTTTTTCATACGTATGACGTATATGGGCAATTTTAGCCAATCACAGCTGCATCCGCTGATCACGTGACGGCGCCCAACGACGTCATTCTCCTGCGACCGGCTCTGAGAGGCATTTTTATCCATGTGTACCGCTTCAGCTGAATTTATCTTGAATTAAAAGGTAAGCCACGAGTTAATATGACAGCCGGTGGAGTTGTGTGTTCTCTGTGTGTGTTCAGACTTAGATAATAAAATTCGTTGTTGTGAAAACGAAGCGTCGCCGGTCAACAGAGTGCGTCTCTTCCTCCCTGCGACAAGGTCAGGATTTAGCGTTACATGACAGGAACCACACATTCTGTGTCTGTGCTGGATTCTTCTACACCAAACCACAGATACTATTTTAATCAGAGTTACAACAACATTTAGTGCAGGCCTCTGTGTAGCTTCATTATTCACATTGTGTGTCTCTGAGAAGCGCCTGCAGCCGGTTACACAACCTGTATTTCCATGTTATCTAAGCTCTGTGTGTAATTACAGCCTTATTTATGCAGCACCTTCCTAAAACTACGCTTCAATGTGCAGCACAAAGCAGGCACTACAATACCGATGATAAAACCAGAGGTGGTGTCGGGATCTGAACACATTTGGGGCTTTTAACCTCACAGTTGCACATTTTTTTTGAGTTATTTAAGAATTAGACACTGTGCTCTTGGCAAAGTAAGGTCAGCCCATGTGCCACATTTATATTGCAATGAGTGCACGATAGCCAGAATACCGCTTCCTCAATGTTGGGCCTTGAAATCTGTGTTTTTTTTTAATTTTTATAGTGATTTACAGCTATCGATATATGTAAATGTGTGACCAAAATGCTTGAGAACCACTGAGGTAGACCAGAGTTGCTCATTTTTGCTACCAGCTGGAGTGAGAATGGTGTTTCCTATTGGTTATTGATACTCATTTTAATTTGTAATAGGTTTAATTATTAGTAATTTGTATGACCGACCCTTGAAATAGTCCAGGTGAAGATATGCAGGTGCTAGTGAGGAGAACAACTTAATTCCCAAAGTGCTATAATACTATATATATGTGTCATGTATACAAGGTGTCAATAACTAATATTATTATAAACAAGAGCAATATCCAAACTGTAACGGCTGCAATTTTTTAAATAAAGGTAAAATCTGTATTGACGAACCACTATGAATGATGCTACAGAGATTCCTCAGCTTATAAACCATGTTCTTCAGGTGTAGGGGAACATGTTTGTGTAGTACTGACTGCAGCAAAAATTACTTAATCATATTTCTGTTTTGTTTTTTTTTTCGGGGAAAGAACAAAAAAAAAGACTACACACACTGAAATTGTGACTCAGATTATTAACATTTGTCAAAAATAATTGCAAATATAATTTTTTGCATCTTGTTCACATCTTGAAAACAGTGAAGGCCACCAACAATTGGATTAAAGTTGTCACTTATACTGAACGAGTTAAAAGCCCATCAGCGTTTTGGATTAATTGAAGCCTCTGAATATTTCTATTGCTGATACTGGGATAATGTTTGTGTGATGACCTTTTTTCGAGTCTGGAAATGAAAGAAAGAATCTGACCTCATTTCTGTTCTACATCACAGAGAACAAATGAAAGATGGTTTAAGTATTAGGTACAAACGAAGGATTAGAGAGTGTGTAACTGAGAAAATCAAGCATCAGCTCACGATTTAGATGCTTCCTAAACCTATAAGCCTCACACCTAATACTGAATTCTCTCCTTCCTTTCGTAGGTTGGATGTGGGATGGTGACGCCGGCTGCCGACTTGTGAGAAACCCGCTCTCCTCTTTCCTCGCTGTGGCCTCTGCGTCGTCTCTCAGACCCGATGGCCAGCCGCCTACTGTTCAGATACGCCCGTCTGCTCAGCAGGGCCTCCTCTCAGGCTTCTCATGCTTCTGCCCGACTACTTCCGCCTGTGACTGGATCTGCAGAGCTGCAAAGGGCGAAGGGCTGGCCATGGGTCCCAGATAGGTTAATGTGTGAAACAAAGCCCAAAGAAGACGTCCCGATAGCTATACCCCCGCGCACCAAGCTGGATACGCTGGTGGAAAATGCAGCTACACCAGAAGACGTTCTGTCGGCGTGGAAACAACATCCGGGGAACAGCAATCAAGCTGCTATTGCTCTGGTGGCGTGGATTCAGCTGACAATGAAGACGAAGGGGAAGTCAGACCAACATGTACCAGAGCTGATGAAGGATCCGAGACTGCAGAATATGATGAATACCTTATCTAAGGGGGTGAGGAAACCGGATGAGATTGAGTTGATTTGTCTTCCTATGAAGTTGGTGGTATCTTCTCCACAAGCTTCATTTCTGTCTGTGTTCTTCTTCCAGGTGTCTTGGGCGTGGAACAACAGTCTGGTGTCTGTGTTGAAAAGCCTCTGGCTTATTAACGTTCCCTCAACGGATCTGGTGCTCTCTGCTGTGCTAAACGAGCTCCTGTGGAGAAGCCGCAGACTCACATACAGGCAGCTGTGCTACGTGGCGGACTGGGGGGCGCACAGGAAAGGACAGCAGGATGTGGTGTTAGTGAACGCCGTGGTAAAACAGCTGGAGTTGCGCTGGACTGAAATCACTGATGCTAGAACTGTCAGTGCGCTGATGTCCAAAGCAGATCGCATGACGCCTGTGTTGATGGAGAGACTGGAAGACAAGGTAAAACGTTAAAAAATCAATATTAAATCACTGCAGCTGAAACTAATATTTATTGTCATTGCCGATTAACCTGGTGATTATTTTCTTGATTAATTGATTAGTTCTTTATTTTAGAAAATGTCAGAAAATGGTGAAAAATGTTTCCTGCAGCCCAGCATCACATCCTCAAATGTCTTGTTTTGTCCACAACCCACAAATATTCACATTTAAGTAGTTGGAATAAATAAATTATTTTTATTCAAACAAAATATTTGCTTATCAGAATTCTTGGCGATTAGTTTGACAACTTATCGATTAATCATTACAGCTCTAAAAATCACCATTTACCACAGATGAATGTTTTAGTATTTCTGCATATTCTAGATCAGGTAGATTGGGAAGAGAATGTGAGTTGCTGTCTTTAAAAGATGGACACTTTCTTTCGTTGCAGAGGTAATTTGCATGTGCTGTCTTACAATTGGTGAAAGGAGAAATCGCATGCAATTGTATCTGGAGTTACAGTCTGAGCACTCCGGTAAACGTCATTACAACTAGTCCATGACCCCGAACCACATTGTTGACCTTCTGTGTGTCTCTGTTGCAGGCTCTGGAGCTCGCAGAGGGATTCACGGGCGAAGAGATCCGCAAAGTCTGCGTATCTTTGGCCACTCAGAGACGCAGAAGTGTCCCGCTGCTCAGAGCTCTGTCCTACCACCTTCTGCAGAAACCGTCGTCAGAGTTCACCACCCCGCTCATGATTGACATAGCCTTTGCATACGGTGAGAAAACTCAAAATCAGAAGATCTTCACTAACTGCAGTTCTGATCAAACAGTAGGTGTTGGTTTTATCTTCATAGGTTTATTATGTCTAGATTTGTATCCCTCTGAACTCTAAAACCCGGCAAAATGATCCCATTTATCAGAGCCAGAAACCATAAAAACTGTAAGAATCATCAGGTTTACAGCTTTCAGATGGTCCCTGAACTTATCGTGTGTGTGACTTTTTGTTTTGTTGGGAAAATTAATCACATAGATGCTTGAAATTGTAACATTTTCAGAATGTCTCGCTAACAAAATTCAGTAATGAAAAGCCGTGAGTGACCGGTCATGTGAAGAAAAAAAAACCTCACTGACTCTTTGGCTGAACTGCAGACAAATACTTTATTTATGTTTTTGATTTATTGTCATATCTCTGGTATGTAGAGCCACTGTTTCCTGGCAACACCTGTGGGCATGTGGAAAGATTTTATAGGTGTTGATTCAATTTTCGTTCTTTTTATAAATACATAACCAAAGAACTTCAATTTATTTAATTATTAAATTAAATATGTTTGGCATTGTAGCTTTGTTACACTGCAAAAAAGAAATGCTTGAGTTCTCTCTACTTATATCATGTTTCTGCTGTTTGAATAAAGCTGCAGGACTTTATATTGCAGTGAAATGAGCCCACAGTGAATCAAAATGTGACAGGAAATTCAAAAGAAAAAAGCTATTCTTTGTGGTTCAGAGGTTTAAACTGTCCCGTCAGTGGTTTTGCAGATTAATGCCGTGCTCCTTGTTTAACAGCATCACTCGTGTGGTATTTCATGTGGTTTTGATTTTATTACATGGTGCATATCGAACCTAAGTTTGACTGAAAAACACTCAGATCTGAAATCAAACTGTCTAGTAGAAATTGCAGTCAGCCCTAATGCAACAACTCCATGTGTGCTCCTCTATAGCGAGCCTGAACTTCCACAACACTCTGGTATTTCAACGAATGGCCTCCGAGTTGTTGCCAAGACTCCCTGAGCTCAGCCCCGAAGACATCGTGCGCTTTGCAAAGTCACTGGGCTTCCTCAAGTGGCTGCACATGCGCCTGTTTGAGGGCTTCGCAGAGGTCAGTAATACACAACGTTGTCTCTGTGCTCCATTTTATAACCTCATATTAACCTATAATAAAACTGTGACTTTACCTTCCTTCACCAGCACTACACAGCAAACAGCCAGAAGTACGAGCCCCTGCAGGTCTGTAATCTGCTCAGGACTTTCGCCAGACTCGGCTTCTACCCCAGCAAAGAGGAAGAGTTCTACAGCAAGGTATCGGTGACGTCAAAGACTGTTTATTTACTCCACACGGCTAGTTCTCCTGCCTACCTGTTAAATGCATTCTCTGTTTTGCGTGAAGGCTCACCTTATGCTGGAGGAGTCTTTCTCGGGCCTGGACCCTTTCCTACAGACAGATGTGGTCTGGTCTCTGTGTGTGCTGCAGCAGGCCAAACCTCACTACCTCGTCGCCCTTCTGCAACCAAACCATGTCAGCAAACTGTCCAGTAAGACACGTAGCGGTGCGCCTTTATCCTACTTCTACGCCTCCTTTCCTGTTTTTGATAAATAGCGAATGTATAAATATGCGGAAACACACTTTGTAGGTAAGTTTGCGCGTATTACTTCATATATCAAGTTCCCCTTAAAGTGTCAGCAGTTCAGGGAGGAGCTCAGAGGAAAACACCTGCTTCTCTAAACTGGAAAAAGCTGGAGAAAGTAGTTCAAAACCACCTTAAAATGTCTTAAGGCAGTGAACCCAATCAGGCCAGAGAGACAATATCAGCTGACATCAAACAGAAAATTGATTGTAAACCAATGTTTTACCAAGTTTGTAGATTGTAGAATGTGGGTCTAAACAGAAAATAGATTTCCAGTTTGGATACTGGTGTTTGAACCACCAAACATGTCACATCTATCAGATTAAATGGTTAAAAAACAACTGGAAAAATGGAAAAGACAAGTAAAATGAGCTCAGAAGAAAAGTCAAGTCTCATCCATTTGCACATAGACGACTGCTCTAGCTATCAATTCAGCAAAAAAAAAAAAAACCCTCCATCTTTCATTTTCCACATTCGGGCATATTGTCAAAAGTTTTCAAAAAACTGAGGACTTGTGACGGAGAACAGATGGCACTCAGGCACAGCCAGAAAGACCAGCAGCAGATTGGAGCGCATAATTGCGAGTGAAATTAAGTAAAACGAGCGAGAAACGGCAGCAGAGATCTCCTCAGAGATCAGCGAGAATTACCAGATACAAGTCGGTTGTCAGATCATTCCAGAGAGGATCAACAAGTATCTGTGCAGAGGGAGAGCGATGCAGCAGAGAAATGTTCAAGAGCTCAAAGGATAGCAAGGACGGAATTTGCAGAACAACATGCACAGAGAGACAGCAGCTTCTGGAGATGTGTTATTTCTGGATTAGAAATCGGTGAAGCATGAAGCACACACACACACACACACACACACACACACACACACAGAGCCAAAACGAATTCAAGTGACTCATCTTTTGCTTGGATAATGATGAAAACAAACATATGAACCATGTGTTGCTCAGCAGAAAATCAAAGTCCTCCAGCGGCCCTGAATCCCGTAGAGCACCTGTGGACCACCACAGAGAAGAACAATCAGCTCATCAGTGTTCCATTGTGGATAAAGTCAAAGCTTTGCAAAAACATGAAGGAAACTTTCCCTCTGTTGTGAAATGATTCCTGGTACTGATTGCATGTCACCAAGCAGTTCAGCAACATAATACTAGAACATTATAACTGTGATCTCTGGTAAAGCCGCCTTTTAGATCTCCACATCTAGTTTTTGATCCTTTTTAAACCAACAATCTTCTCTTTGGGGTATGGACACGGGCACTTGTGCTACTTTGTGTTGACATTTTGTTATCCAGTACAAAGAAATTCATTTATTCAAAAGTGTCCAACTACTTTTTGGAGCCACTATTATAAATATGTTTTGAATTAAACGGTTTATGATATAAATGTATATAATAAATCATGATGGAAATAATCACACATTTGAAGAAGAAGGTTATACGTTTTGCACATACAGTTTTGGAAGGATTTCAAAACAATCAAAGGCAGGCAGGACAGAGTCAAATATTTAATTACAAATTGAAAAAAAAAAAAGTTATTGAAATATAAAGCAAATAATTGTGCACATTGAAGATATTGGAGCTTTACTTTTGCAGCCCTGACACCAGTCCCACTTCTCTGACTGAGCCAAAAGGCCCACATTGACTTTAACTTGGTTGATTTAGCCAAAAACTGCTTTCTGTATCAGGTGTTCTCATCCTATTTTAACTCTTCAGGCCAAAGATTTAAAGGTATTTTATATCCAAACACAGGATCGTTTATAATGGGGGAAAAAGCTGCAACAATTTCACAGGGTATGAATAAATTTGAACATTTTTAGTAATCGCATAAAATATATATAAATAGATTAAACTTGTGTTTTTAAATGCACTCAATGCTTTTTGCTTTCTGCTGTTTTTTCGTTTTTGTTGCATGTTGTTTTATTTCTTATTTTCATTCACCGTGCAGTGTCTTGAGCGTTCAGAAAAGCACTTTATAAATGAAATGTATTATTATTATTATTATTATTATTATTTGTCATTAACGTCTTTAACGCAGTGTCTTACTGTCTTTTATTACTTGTTTATGGCATTTCCAGCCAGAAGAAAGCTGCTGGTCAAATGAATATTCATTTTAGATCAAAATTTGGCAAAAGGTTGAATAATTTTGGACACTTTTTTTTTAGTGAATTATAGTAATAATTAAACATACAACTAGATCAAAGTTATCATTAACATCCATCACTGTCACTTGTTGATGTAATTTCCAGCAAGAATAAACCCATCGGTAAAAAAATAAAATAGATAAACATTTGGAATGATTTTGAGCTTAATTTTGTGTTTATTATTTTAGCTAATTGACGAGCTGTGGTGTGTCTGAGCGCTCTGGAGCCAAGATACAGCTGCAGCTCAGTAGATGGCAGTGCAGCACCAATAGATCACCGCTCTGACAAGCACATTCATCCCATTTACTCATTGCTTTGATTGCTGAAACGTTATTAGAGTGATTCGGAGAAGCGCTGGTGCAATTGTTCCTGCTTCTGCTTCACTCTTTCCATGCTGTCTGTTTCTGTCTCATAGTGGGCAGTCCATCTCAAGCAGTGAGCTACAAGTGGAAGCTCCTGCAGATCGCTGCTACTCTCCGCTTGGAGCATCCGGGTTCCTCAGATACCTCCCTGAGCGTTCCCTCCGTCTCTGCTTGGTCCAACAGCGCCAAGGTTTCTGCGATGAAGAATAGTTTAAGAGACGCCTTACAGAGTTTCGTAGGTGGGAAGTCAGAGGCGGTCCGCACTGCCGTTGTCACTGTGTATGGATGGACCATTGGTAAGGAGGCCCGTCAGATCACAAACAGTCACATTGTCCTTTTATTACTGATGTTTTTGCAGGACTTAAACCCTGAAAGCAATATTTAACACAGCTTTTTTACACACTGCCCTTTGTAAATCAGACGGTGAGATGGTAGTGGATTGTGACAACAAACCAGTCGACTTGTCGATGCTAAAAGCCCCTCATCTAATGAGCAGAGGAGGAGGAGATGAGGCTTTACCTGCTGGAGCACGGCGGTGAGTCATAGAGATGAGTCATGGAGGTTTTGAGTTGTAAACCCCACTTTTTTTTTTGTTGCTCCTGTCACATCTTTACTCACTGTGGACTCGTTTTTCATTGCAATATAAAGTCCTGCACATCAATAGAAACAGCAAGAAGAGAGAACTCATGAAATGTCTAGTGCAGTGTGGCATTGTTTTAATCCTAGAAATCATTTAAAAAATAAAATAATAATACAAAAAAAGAGAGAATCAACATGTACAAAATTTAAGTGCCCACAGCTTTAACTAATAGTGTCAAACGTCGTTGGTTCCATTTGTAATAGGTGATGATGATTTGTACTTTTAGTTTGTTTTAATCTCATACACCCTGCTCGCAGTTTAACCGAACATTTGCAGAATTTTTGTAGCATGACTTTTGGTCACAGCTGAGTCATTCACTGCTTCACAGTTGAACTGAGAAATGTAGAATTTTTTGTATTTGACTGTTTATTTTTGTTAGATTTTTAAATATAGACTAAAGTGATTTTTAACAAAAATCCACTTTTAGGTTTAGATTTGGTTAATTTTCCCAGTGGAACAGCGCATCATAGATTAGTAGGTCAAGGACAGTTGGAAAGTTGGAAATCTGTACAGCACTTTATGTTTTTATAGGTTCTGGCTCTGATAAATGCTGTAAATTTGGCTCAAAAGGATAACTTGCTGTTGGAACCCACTGGGGGATTTTTAGATTCAGAGGGTTAAAGCTTCACTTTTGCTTTTCTGCCTTTGAATGTCGTCACAGTTTTCCTTTCGCTTTAGTCGTCTAAAGTGAATTTACCCTCTTTTTCACTCATCTTCATCTTTTCTATAGGCTAGCGTTCGTGGCTTGGGAGTTTGCCAACTTTGGCTCAAAAAGCAAAGACCTTCTGGGATGTTTCACCATGATGAAGCGGCACCTTCAGCTGGCCGGCTTCATCGTAGTGGAGGTAGGAAGAGGCTGGAGGTGGGAGGAAACAGCTTTGTGATGCACCGAGCCCTTGGATCAGTTTTTCGTTACACTCGCACACACTAAAGGCAATTCAAGCAGGAATTTTCTGGTGTGTGGCTGTAGTTGTGAGCTGTAGTTCAGTGAACAGGAGCAGAGCTGCTGTTGCTGCTTTGTATCTGACAGGCTAAAGCCAAGCAAACAATGGACCTAATACTTTGGTAGAGCTGAGAGTCAGGTGGGTCCCGCTGCAGTCTGTGGTATAAATAGAGCTCCAGCCGCAGCTCTGCCTCATCTAGGCCAATCCAAGCTCCGTCTTTCTCTCATCTAGGACAATATCCAGTCGTAGCATCACTCTCCTCTCAGGTTTGCAGGATGAAATAACTGAGAAAAACGTGTCTAAATATGAGGCAACAGAGTAGGTGTCACAGTTGAAATCTCTTGCTTTTTGTTCCCGTTCAGGTGCCGTTTTACGAGTGGCTGGATTTGAAGACAGACTGGCAGAAGTCGGCCTACCTGAAGGATAAAATAGGCAAGGCGGTGGCCGAGGAGATGGCCAAGTGAACTGTGCGACATCTGCAAGCTCAGCGAAATCGGAGCTTTTCCCAATCAAGTGGGACCACAGGGAAAACACGCATAACACCCACGCTCACACTCAGAACGGAGCAGCAGTGCAGAACACACACACACACACACACACACACACACACATACATACACACAGACACACACACACACAAAACAAAAAAAACATATTTTCACTCTGGTTCCCCTGGCAACGTGTGGGGCTTTCCCTGTTTCCATGGTGACGACGAGTAAGAGTTTTGGAGCCAGAGAGAGACAGAAATAAACACAGCAGCGAGTCCTTCTGTAGAAGTGATATGATCAAGGACTAAAGTCTCTGCATCTGCAAGTGACACGTCGAAAGCAGCAGCACCCGGGTTGTGTTGAATTTTTGGTGAAAACGTGCTTTAATGTCGGCATGTTAATAGATTGAAATAACTATCTCTGTGAATGTGTGTCAACTTGAGATCAATTAAATAGTTTTATTGCCAATTCTTTTTTTTCTCCTCTTTTGGTTTTCATATCACACAAAACTCACCGTGATCCCTATGTAATATACTTAAATGTCACATGATTTAAAATTGTATGAACTCTCAGTAAGTTTTTCCTCTTACGAAGAATCCAGAGATACATTACAAAAGACTATATTGAAAATAGAGGCGTCAGAGTAGAAACTGAATACAACAAAAGTGAATACACCTGTGATCACTGAAACCAAACTGAGTACGTCTGTGATTTCCAATCAGCCTAACTTCACACATATGGTTATCAAATGAGCTGTGAACAGCAGAACTTTCTCTGTTTTGAACCTATGATCTGTGTCTGTGTCTTCATCATGGCTCCACATGGAAAAGAATTACCAGAAGGAATGAAAAATCTGATAGTAAGTCTTTACAAAGATGGAAAGGGATACAGGAGGGTCGGATAGCGACTAAAAATCAGTGGGACGACAGCTGCAGCAGTAATCAGGAGGTATAAAAGGAGCCATAGTAGCACTAATGAGAGCTGCAGTGGTTATCCTCCTAAAATGACTCCACAGTGCACTACTGCGACAGTCCAGTTGTGAAAACCAGACGGCAGCTGCTTCAGATTCGGAACAGGGATCCTTTCTGTGAGACAGTGTGAAGGACATTAGTTGATCTCAGCCTCTGTAGAAACTGTCCAAGAAAGAAAAACTTTGATTATACTTTGGCACAAAACTGCAAAATTAGACTTTGTTAAAGAACTTGAAACAAAGCCTGATGAATGTTGGGAATGCATTCTTTGATCTGATGAAGATAAATGTGTTGGGCTCAGATGGAGTCCAGCATGTTTGGTGTGAACCTGACCAGGACCACCACAGTGGATGCATAGTCCTGACAGTGAAGCACGGAGGTGGCAGTATCATGATATGGGGCTGCATGAGTGCAAAAAGTGTTGGCGAGATGTTATTTATAGGTAAATATCAGTGGATAAATGAAAATACTGGCTGACAAGATGACTCCCAGTCTGTAGAAGATTGAAGAAGAGGAATATTCCAGCATGGAAACCATCCAAAGCACAAAATCACACAAGAGTTTCTACACAAGAACAAAATGAAATCTATGATCTGGACAAGTACGTTGCCTAACTTGAATCCAGTAGAACATCTTTAGTTTATTTTAAGGAGACAGATAGAGCAGCCTTTGTTTTAAGCTGTGTTTCCATTGGGTGTGTACAGTCTTGTTGCATTAGGTTGTGTTTTGTGTGATATTCAGACTCAAGATGCCTAATTTCACATCTAACAGCCAGTTCGCACATCTCTCAGCATACCGCTGTGTGTGAATGCAACAGTATTATTAGCACATAATTACTGAATCAACATAGAGCAGGGTTGACGAGGAGGCTCCTCACAGCTTTGCTAATACAAATCACAACAAATTTGTTATTGTGTTCACTGGGTGCTTAAATACATAATTTATCCCTTTTCATGAAACCGGTTTTGGTTTGCAGTGTGTTATGAAAGGTGTTAAAGCCACTAAATATAGTGAGATTTACCCAAGTTTGGGTAAATTTGTAAATGTGACCGTTCTTAAACTAGAGTGGCTATTTTTAGATTCCATCTGTGCGTTCGTTTAAATGTGCATGTTGACTAAAAGCACTGAGGAAACAGCGAGGGCAAGATTCAGAGACACTTTGCTGACCTGAAACTGCTTACACAACACGATGGGCGGCAGCACTCAGTCATCAGAGGCTGCTGTGGCAGGAGAAAGAAGACTGACAATTGCAAGCTGGGACAGAGGAGAGAAAATGGCTTAAACCGAGAAGAAGGTAAACTATTGTACGCATAAAGCCATGGTGGCAAATGAGGAAACAGGAAGAAGAAAACATAAAAATGAACTGTCACTCTGATAAACCATCACATGATCCACAGGCAGAGTGCCAATCGCCTCTTCTCAATGGTCAGGGATTCACGGATCAATTGATGGACTGTTGACAAACAGCCCTGCTAGCACTTCCAGTATTGAACTACTTGGTCATAGTATCGCCTGCGGTGGGTTGACAGTGTGCAGGTGTCGTCACTGTGTTCAGCCAAGACTAATGAAAAGATGATGTGGACAATGACACATCTTAATAAAGTAAACAGTGAAGATTGTTTTTTACCCAATACATCAAATAAAACGTATTTGCAGTCATGAACAAAAGTTTTCATACACTTGTAAAGACCATGCAGACAGTTTTAAGTTTCCAGTGACTCGTGTAACTCTGAATTATCTATGATAGACTCACTAAAACACATGCGTCTTTGTTGCAAAAACTGTATTTTCTGTTGTCAGATGAAACAAAAATGGAACTATTTGGGTACAATGACCAAGAATATATTTGAAAGAGAGAAGGTAAGGCCTTTAACCCCAAGCACACCAAACCAGTCATCAAGCATGGCAGTGGCAGTATTATGCTCTGGGGCTGTTTTGGTGTCATTGGGACTGGTGCTTCACACAAAGTAAACTGAACAATGAGGAAGGAGGATTGCCTTCACATTCTTCAGGAAAACCTCGCCAGAAGGTTGTGTTTTGGATGCAGTTGGATGTTCCAACAAGACAATGATCCTAAACACACTTAAAAATGGTTATGAAATGACTAAATTAGGCTACAATTAAGGTTTAAAACTGGCCTTCCTAAAGTCCTGACCCCATCAAGAAGCTGTGGGCTGTTTCAGAAAGCCAACAAATTTAGCTGAACTGTTCAATTCTGTCAAAAGGAGGGTTAAAGATACAACCAGAATGTTATGGACGGCTACCAAAAGCACCTAGCTGAGATAACAAATGGCCAAAGGACATTTAAACAAATATTAGCTCTGCTGTTTGTACAGTTTTGACCCAGCAGATTTTGTCATATTTCCAGAAGACCTGCAATAAATTAATGAAAGAACCAAAATACCAAAATACATGATTGTTATTTTTTGTTTGCTTTTCATGACAAATGTGTATCAATGACTGCATCATAGAAAATTCAGAGCTATGAGAGTCGGTGGATGTAAACTTTTGCTCACAACTGTAAATGTGAAACATTTTTTTTCTGCTAGTTAAGCCGATACCTGAGAAGCGCTGCTGTACACATGAAACCCTCCACTTGAGAGAATAATGTGGAAACTCAGAAACATCTTTTAATCTTTGAACTTTTTAGCGGCTATCTTGGCTGAGGTCAACTGGGTTGCACAGCGGTTATTGTCCGGTAAAAGAGCAACCACTTCTGCTGAGCTGGCACTCTGTCATGGGAAGTTTTGGGTTGCCATGGAAACTGCCGCTGCTGATCATTTTGGCTCAGTGCTGCCGCCCCCTCTTTCTCTTTCTATTTCCATCTATTTTCCCTCTCTTGTCTATAAAAGTGGAGAAAAGCTGCGGCCGAGATGTCGTTAATGATTTACAGAACCTCCAGGGAGGACCGAGCCGCTTTCTCTGATCTCAACAGATTTGAAGTTGCTGGTGATGACAGGTCATTCCAACATTCGTGATGATATTCCTTAACAATAAAACCGCGATGCACCTCTGTGGCCATTTGATCTGTTGCGAGCAATGTGAAAGGGCCCACACACTGGATTGTTAGCAAGGGTGTTGTTTTCTGTTTGTCCTGATAAACAAATCCGACCAGTTTCTGTCAAAAAAAATGTATGTACCAACTGTATTTTTGTGGAATTTATGTCTACATCAGTAAAATAAAATTGCACTGAAGAAAGTACAAAGCAGTCCAGCTGTCAAGTCACAGAAAGCAGGAAAGCTGAGCGCAAACAAACAAAAAAAAAGTAATCTCAAGATTTATGTATTCAAAGACAGGGTTTTGTATTTACAGTTCTGACATAAATCAGCCTGGACAAGCCCTGTTCTCTGTCACCATCAACTGGAATACATTCTTGTGCCTTGTTTACCACTGTTGGGAAGCTGACTAATCCTGCCACACAGTCACCCCCTGACTTTCTGTCTGTGATATAGTGTAATGAATTTGCTTCTTTTTTTTTTTTTTTAAAGGGAAAAATTTTTTTTTAACAAAAATCAAATTGGCAATAAATTGTTTCATGTCAATCAATGGAATCAACACTGCTGTCACCGTGTAGGAGCGATTTGGCTCGACTGCACATTCAATGCAAACTGTACTAAAACTCTGGAGGATGTAGTGAAGCATTTTAATTGATCCACCTGCTGTTTTGACACCTTGTCATCCTTGTTGCTTGTGCTGCAACTGTACTGATAAAGGTGTTATTTTTTTTGCGACAAATTCTTGAAATTGACTTTTGTAAGCAAGGTTTTCAGCGGCCTTATCATCTTGCCACCTCTATGAAAAATTTCTGGAGATGCCTCTGGTGCAACCTTTTGCTATGGACCATAAAATACTTTAAAAAGTGGGTGACATTATCTGATACAGTCCTTAAATCTCAGCTGATGATCCCAACATTTGGAGTCCCCCAGGGTTCAATTCTTGGGCCACTGCAATTCAGCCTATACACGCATCCTTCAGGTAAAATCAGACCCCATGCAGATGACATTCAGATTTACTTATGTGACATCTAACTAGGTTTTTGATATGAATACGGATGAACTGCAAGAATGAAGCCAACAGTCAGTAAAGGTCAAAAAGTCATAACAGGCCGATTTGGTAAAATCAAGGCCACAAACAGCAATACCAGAAAAAAAAGAGTCAAAAATTTGAGTGTCTTACTGCAGAGACTGGGAATATGTTTTTAGCAGTTAATTTTTCCGTTAATGCAAACCTTAAATGATACCATCACAAATCAACTGCAGCTTTTTTGCCATTACCACTAATCCTGGACTTTTATAAGTCTTAACAAAAAAAAACAACGACTTATTGGCAGACCAACACTCTGTTACATAACCATCATTCTGTATATCTAAAAAAATATCACAGCTTCAGCCTGATTTTTTTTGTTTTATGGTCAACATGGAAATCAGGGAAAATTTGTAAAATACCAATAAATTGTTGAAAAGGTTAAACTGAAACAGTGTGTGGATCTTATTCTCTTTTATCCCTCTTTTTTTTTTTTTTTAAAGATCTTGTTTATTCTGTGCTGATTTTTTGCTGCTTTTGTTTCTTGATGTTGTTGCTGTGTTTGTCTTTTAAGCTCTTTAAACCACCTCTGTGCTTGAAAACGAGCTAAACACTCTCGAGAGCTGAAGACGGAGGCAGAAACAGATGCTCTGGTTGCCTTCGGGGGGGAACGTCTCCCTGCTGATTCCTGCGGGATGTAATCAGAGCAGGAGGCAGGAAGGTATAATTAGCAGCTCACTTTTCGGTTTCGCTTCTGCCCTTCTGATTCTCTTTCTCTTCCCCCCCCTCTTCTCTGTTCTGTTTTCCTTGAATCCCCTCCTCATCCCTACCGTCTCCCTCTTGTTTTTGCAGTACCGGTCCTCTCCTTCAAGGTTCGGCGGCAGCACCGAGAGCTCGGCAGAAATCTGCTGACATCATCTCCCACGATCCAGTCATGGCTTTGGCTGGGAGCGAACGAGGGGGGTGAAAAAGAGGGCGAGAGATAGAGAGAGAGAGGGAGGGAGGGAGGGAAGCAGGAACTGGGCATCAAGAGAGAGAATACTGCAGCTCAGATTCTGCACTCACACACACACACACACACACATACTCAGATGATCATGAGGCTCTAAAACACACGCCCACAACAGCAGCATCACTGTGCTGCACCAGAGAAAGAAGACCAGCCTCCACTCCCATCTCTGCCTCCTTCGCTGTCCGTCTGCCTCATTCTGTCTCACACACAAACACACACTCATATAGACAGACACGTGCTGCAGGGGAGATCTGAGAGCTGGGTCGCTGAGCATTCACATCCCCCCCTCCCCATCCTCCTCCTCCTCCTCCTTCTTCTTCTTCTTCTTCTTCTTCTTCATTCTCCCTCTCACACACTCTCTCTCCCTCTTCACCTTGTCTGTTCCGGCTGTATGGTTTATCGTTGCGTCAGAGCCACAGAGAGCCAGCGAGAAGCATGCCGGGGGAGAGCACTCACAGATCCGTCCCCACCGACAAGCATCCAGAGCAGGGGGCCGAGGAGACGGGGCTCCCTGGACCAGGTAGGACCTCTCAAGGGGGGAGTTTGGGGAGAGATTGTGTATTGTGTAGAGCATGTAGGTACAGTCAAACAGATGACAGCTATATTAGGAGAATATTAACTGCTCCAAGTCAGTTTATGTGTAGAGTAAGCTGTGATTCAGCTGCATGTCCTGCTAAGCCTCCACCCCTGGAGATCAACTCTTTTTTTTTTTCTTTTACCTCGATTAAATTTGCTTCCAAATCCTTTCGACCCCCCCCTTTCCTCTTCGGATCCCTCCACCCTAAACCGGGCCCTCCTAACTCCCATAACCCTTCATCTTCATGCCACATCCGCATCCTCATCTCCACATCAGTTGTTGCGAGCAGCGTGGAGTGGCTCCTCCCTTCCCCCAGCCTCAACAGGAACATGACACAGCAGCATGGCAGAGCACACAAACACACAGTCTCACAAGAACAGGAGCGCTTGCTATTGTTGCTTTATTTTAAAAAAAATTGTCAAGGATTGCTCATGAGATAAGAAATTGAGGTGTAAAGAAAGTTCCTCCTCACTGGATGCACATACCAGTGGTGATTTAGCTATTTAGGATTTAAGCCTGCTTTAACTTTATCTTCTCTCTGATCTGTTTTTATGGCCTCCTGGCGTGTATGTATTTATATGTATCGCAAATAAATGTGTGTGTATGCATTGAGGGGGGAGGTGGAGAAAGACAAAGCAGCATATGGCACCGGTGGGGTGTCTCTTTTTTCATGGCTCAAACCTGAGCAGTAGCTGAAACAGAGGCTCTCCTTGGGGGGTGGCAGTCCAGCTCTGCAGCCTCTGTGACGCAGCTCCAGTCTGCTCAACTGCGGCCTGCTGCTCATACGGCAAGCCGGGCGCTCAATTTTACTGCCCCAGACGCGACTCCAGGGCTGGGCAGATATTATCTGACTCTGGATTATTTGGCAGCCGGGCAGTAATGTAGTTTCTGTTCTTCCAGCTTGGTGTCTTTTTTTTTTTTGTGTCGGGCCTGAAACAATCAGATAGTCGGCTGCACTGTACATGTAACTGTAGCGCAGGAGTTGCCTTTTGTGCATGCTTTGCTGTGCATCCCTCTGACTCGTCTCTGATGCATGACTCAGCACGCAAACACAAAGTGAGCTTAATATTGGGGCAGTGATCAGGCAGGGCAGCTAAGTGCTGATGCTTGCATCTGCCACCACCCCGGGCAGGGCAGGACAGCAGCAGCGACGAGGAAGGAGAAGCAAAAAAAAAAAAAAGAAGAGTCACTTGGAAGTCCTAAACATCCAAGGAGAGGATTAGATCAGATAAGGTTTGGAGATAATTTGAGGGAGTGATGTACAGAAGGCGCTACAGAACAGAGAGCGGATGTGATGTTTCCTGGGAGTGTTTGTGGCTGGCACTGAGCTGAGCCACTTGTGTGCTATAACGGCCAATCAGCACGTGGATTGAGGTCACCGTGGCAATGGCCCAGTTAAGCGAGCAAATGAAGGTTCTGTTCTCGCTGTGTGTGTTATAAAAAAAAACAAAACGGGCCCTACAGCACATCTTCTGGGCATGTTGCAGAGAATGTATAGTTCTGTGTTATGATAATCAATTAGTGAAGACTATAAGTGGAACTGAGACAGATGATGAATACAATATTTTATTCCATCTTTTTCCTACTTTATTGCACATATACAAGACTCTCTCCACTCATCCCTTGACCCCATTTCCTTCATTCAGCCTGTCATTTCATCTCACGAATCTCCCCATTTCTGATCACGGATGATGATACAAGACGATAGCATGATCTAGAACAGGACAGAGAACACTGTTCTTCAATAACAGCTCCTTTTGCCTGTGGCTAATTGTGCAATTGTGTATGTTGACCCTCTGAAGAAGTTTCTGGCTGTTTCTTTGCTCCTGCCACATTTTAACTCACGGTGGGCTCATTTTTTTTACTCCAATATAAAATCCTGCACCTCTATGGAAACAACACAGCCATGGCTAGAAGTAGAGAATAATGCCAGCGTTAAATTTTATTTATTTATTTTACAAAATTAAAGAAAAAAGTGGAAACAACATGTGCAATATTTTTCCAAATGCCCACACGTGTTACTAATACTGAAAAAAAAGAGAGGGCTCCACATGCTATAGATATTTAAATATTTACCTTATTACCAGCTCTACAAACTCGGTGTTTTAGTAGCTACTCTGCACATCAACTCAAGAAAGATGTTTCACCATGCTGTATGCATCTTCTAATAACTTGCTGGCAACTTGATCCTTTGTTTACCATTTCTGAGCCATGCTACATTAATTTTATTGATCCAGTATGTTTCATTTTCCTTTCAGTCTCTTGCGATGTAAACACAGTTCACTGGAAAATACCCTGGATTTTTGTCATGTGACTGCTGTGCACAGCTGAGTCACTCATGGCTTCTTGGTTTTGCTGAGGAGCACAATTTTTATTTTTTTAAATTTTTTTTTAAACAGAATTTCATTCCTACAGTCAATTTATTTTTGGTGATTTTTAAAACGAGACATGTAGAACTAAGTGATTTTGATGAAATATCACAATTTAAAATTTACATTTAGTTATCTTCAGTGATGGAAGCCTGCATCACACACGAGATGTTCATCGACCATCAAGAAGTTAAAAATCCTATGGTTAATTCTATTTTTATCATTTCTGGCTCTGGTAAATAGTACATTGTTTTTAACATGCTTTTCAAACCTGCCAGCAGCCTTCTGGGGTTCAGAGGTTTAATACAGAAAGAGAAAGAGAGACATTCACACTTGCAGAGATAAAGAAATATATTGTAGAGTGTGTAGAGAAACCAGCCTAATGGAGGACAACTGCAGGCAGGATAATTATGTTCTAAATTCTTTTCAAGAAAACATCTGAAGAGAAACATCTGTCATCTGTGTTTTCAAGCTTGGCGATTGTTTTTCTCTCCAAAGCCATTTGCGGCGTCGGTGTTGAGCTGAGAGGTATTTGTTGTATTTACCGACTGGCATTTCACTGACATTTTGCTGCTCTCTGTAGTGTGTGGGATAAGAAAAGTGAAGTTCAATTAAGGATTTCAAAGTCTATTATCGTACAATAAAGGAGGCATAGCCTGATACATCATGTCAATTGTTGTGGTTCTGGGATAATTCTGTCAGCTTGGTTGAGCTCATTTTTTTGCTAATTTAACACAAATACTTAATGTTTTTTTTTTTAATGAGGATTTTGAAGTAACTGCTCCTTCCCTTTATTTGAAATGCAGTTTTATATTTTTTTCTGTTTCCCAGACATGACCAGACACCCGTCTACTGACTCCACCCCGAGTGACAGCGGCTCCTCTCCTAGTGACAGTGGTTCCAGTCCTTCTCCCAGTACTCCACAGAAGCTTCTCCCAGCATGCACTTCTCCGTTTGGACCGCGACTATTTCACGTGACACCCAGCTCCTCTGGCACTCCGAGACCTCAACCTGAAGGCTCCGACCATCGCAACAACAACACATCCAGGCTGTCTGGAAAATTAGGCGGTCATGGACCATGTGGCCGCCACGTCCCTGTTAAGATGGAGCGAATAAAGGTGTGTGGTTTTTTTTGAGCATATTTGCAAAATTACAACAGATCTACCATCAGATGCATTTAGCACGATACTCATATGAACTTGTATATGTATGTACAATGTGTTATTCCCAGGTCCTGACTGGTTCTGAAGTGGAGAGTGACTATCAAGAGCCGCACACCATCGACACCAGGGTGGTGATGGGTCAAGAGACGCTGCTCAAAACAACAGAGAAAGGAAACCCCCTCGTTGCACCAAGTGGTCAAGCAATCCCTTTGCCAGATATTCCGAGCTATTCAGATTCTCAGGCACAAGCGAAAGAGACTCAGCTGGAAACCAGAAAAGACGAACACCAATCCCAAAACCTTCGAAAACAGGAGGATCAGCAAAAAGAAACAGTGCAGCCCTCGACTGCTCTCCCTTCCTCTTTTCACAACCCCCTGCTCCCTTCCTCTACCTCCCCAGAGCCAGTCACCACAGATGACAGTTTGATAGACAACAAGGAAGAGGGCGAAACCCCCTCTCAAGATGAAGTGCCTTCCCTCGCTTTTTCTGAGCTTGCCTGTCCAGTTGCTTTATCCTTCTCTGAACCAACCTATACTGTTGACCCACTAAGAGTGGGCGTGCCCTCATCTCTTGACCCAGACCTTTACTACACTGCCCCTTCCACCCCGATCAAGATGGCTTCTCGCGCTTCGCACCTTAAACATCATTCATATCCGGGTTCCCCAGCCTGCCCTCTGTCCCCCGGCTCTCCCTCTGACAGCGAAGACCTCTGTTCGCCTCTCACCTCTCCTTCTGGCTCTTATATCACAGCAGAGGGAGGCAGCTGGGCCTCCTCCTATACATCCTCCACCTCCCCATCCACCTCCCCCAACCTGCTCCTCACAGAAGAAACACAGGAGGCCCCTGCTTGCTTTGTGAGCTCCTTATCTGAGATTGGAGATGAAGTTGGAGAGGAAAAGGGGCGAGTAGGTTCAGAACGGGAGGAGGAAAGGACTGGGGACTTCTGCCTGTACCATCCTGAGGCTTTTGTTATGAATTCCCGGATAGGTATAACAGACACAGTAATCCTTGAGGAGGATGAAGTCCTAAAGTCGGAGGAGATCAATATTTCAAGAGAGAGTTGTCGTCCTTGCTGGGTGACTGAGGATACATCCCCTCTAAGGAGCAGTAGCACCAGTGACTCCCAGGAGGATGGGGGAGAGTCTGAAAGTTCACTCTGTCCACTAGAGGAGGCCAGTGCAGGGGCAGCAGAGTACTCTAGATCCATGCAGACGGGCCTGAGGCTGCACCTGGAGGCATGTATATCAGAGGAACATTATGGCCAGATGGACAGCCACCCAGAACTTCCCTCCACTGCCTTGACTCCTGACACAGAGAACATGACCATGGCCTCATCCAGCCTTAGCCCTGACTCCCCTGTCCTCCCCCTGGATGCCTTCTGTCCTGGAGCCTTTGACCGGCTTGGCCCCAGTTCTTTCATCCTCTCCCAGGCAGCCTGCTCTGATGATATACCCGACGAGGAGAGGATGATCCCTGCCTCCCTGATCTCCTTTCCCCTCCACACCAGCCTGATCTTTAAGGCTGACTCGATGGAAATCACCCTGTTCCCCACAGAGGAGGAGAATGAAATAGAGGTTAATGACAGAAACGAAGGAAAGGATGCGTATGCAGCAGGAGAGGAGGAGGCAGATGTCGAGGATGATGATGACGATGATGATGATGAAGATGACGATTATGATTATGATGATGATGACGGCAACGCGAATGGAGCTGCCGACAGTGATGAAAATGAGGAAAATAATAAAGAAGATGAGGAAGCAGGGGAGGAAGCTAAGGTAGAGGTGAAAGTGGTAGAAGAAGAGGAAGGGGAGGAAGAAGAGGAGCAGGATGATGATGATGATGATGATGACGATGATGATGAGGAGGAGGAGGAGTGTGATAGCAAAGCAGTGGAGGATCCTACAGATGAAGACAGCTCAGCATCTTTCCTTCATTCACTCTCAGAAACATCAATCAATGAGGGGTTGGATGAATCTTTCTGCTTCCAAGACGATACAGATGACTCATTAGATTCTGCCTCCTATAATGGGGAGGAAGATGAACGTCTGTACAGCACCGAGAGGCATGCACAATCACTAGAGCCCACATCAGCAGAGGGACCAGAACCTGAACAGAGGTCTGCCACTGAAACAGGGCAAACTGAACCTCCGCACATACAACTGAGCATGGACAAAGTCGTGGCTCACCCCAACACAACTTGTCTTTCGGAAGCCATTGCAGTGCACCCCCAAGACAACAATGAAAAACCTCTGGATGAGCCCCAGTCAGACCAGGAACTGGGATCTACCAGTGGAACAGGTCAGACAAAAACTTCAGACGTGAGCACAGACAAACCAATGGATCACCAGAAACTGTCCGGTCCTACAGAAGCAAATTCTTGTCAACCAGAATCCTCCAGTAACCTTAACAAGAGTGGAAATGAGACTGAGATGATGGGTAATGTTCTTTCTTCGAACCCTGCGGAGCAGCCCGAGGACAGCCCTTGTTTTAACCCTCCTGTTGTCATACGTGCTTCACCTGACTCTGCCAGCTCTCCTGCTTCTGTTACTTCTGTGCAGGAGTTCAGTTCAGTCCTTCCAGAAGAATCAGCTGAGGAAAATACCCAAGTGAAGGATTTGAAATTGCACAGTGATTGCTCAGGAGCAGAGACAACAGACGAACCAGAGAGAGACTCTTTCAAATTGCTAATCAAGCCTCGTCATTACCATTCTGAAAGTCAAAGGACTGTAGGAGCAAGCAGAGTTGTGTTATCAAAGTCTTTCTCCAGTAAATATGATGTGCCTGTTGGGGCGGAAGCCATGTGTAGATCCAGTATTCAGTCTGACATTGAGCTTGACCAGAAAAATGGTAATGCTTCAGCTGAACCTATGAGCATGGACTGCAGAATTAGTGATTCTGGTCCCTCTCTGAACATAGTCACTGCTACCAATGACTTGAATAAAGGCGTTCTTCTGCTGTCCTGCCCTAAAGACTCAAGTCCCAACCCCAGTAATATCCCCGTTTCTGCCTCTCCTGAAGTCATCTCAGAACTCGGTGACAATCTGGCCCTGACGCCTGAACACTGCCCCGGTGATTCTGCCCAGGAGAACCTTCGAGAAAACACCCTGAGCACCGATGAGGGTGTGCTGGGAGCTGTCGGATCCCCACACTCCCCTCTTGCCATCTCACCCAAAAGGGAAAACTCAGAAACAGACACGAGCAGAGAAATGGGTCCCGGAGCCGGTGCTTGGTGTGATGCCAGGATGGGGCTGGGGTTTCGTCTCGGTTTAGGAACAGGGGCTGAGTTTGGTGTCTGGGGAGCTGGTGAGTCTCTCTCCTTGTCTCTGGGGAAGAGATACGAGTTAGAGACGGAGAGCTTGCTCATGTGTGACACTGAAGGCCAGAGCACACAGACAGCCATGGTTCCTAATACAAGCAGTGAAGTGTGTAAAAATTATGACAATGTTCTGGGCTCGATTCTGGATGAAGAAGATAACAACAGTCTGTGTGGAAGGAAGGACCAAATAGTGGATGAAGAACTGGTCGAAGAGGCAGCTTCTGAGTCCAACTTGGCCCATTGGAAGTCCATTGAGGAGATCTCAGAGGCAGGCGGAGGAGAGGACGGAAGCTCCAGATTCCCAGAGGACGATGTCAGTAATCTAAATCCAGACAATGATGGAGATAACACAGACACACAAGACACTTGGCAGAATTCTAACAATAACAATGACTCTGCCTTTGACTCATTGGGAGTAGGAATGTATGGAAATCTGAATGCTCTATCAGAGGAAGTGAGACACCAGAGTGTGAGTGTCACTGTTAGAGAGTCTGTGTCTAATATTCCACTTGAAGAGATGCCACCTCAGGTTTCAGATATGATTCCTGATAAAGAGAAAGAACCAACGGACAGATCTATAAACCAGACATCAGACATAACGCAGACACCATTCTGCAAGGAAACTGTCTGTGGCATCTCAGTGCCAGTAGTCGAAACTCACGAAGATGCAATAAACAAACATTTCAATTCACTCGATAAGTCGAGATGTCGTACTAATCCAGAGTGTCAGACAATCCCTCCAAATTCAACATTTTCTTTGCCACAAGGATCCTTTGGATCCTTCACTCCTAAATGCAAGTCTGACAATTCCAGACCAAGTAGAGCTTGTCAAGACAAGGTGGAAAATACTGGTTCTCTGTCAGAAACAGATGTGGTGAAGCCTCAGACCGAAGGCCAAAGAAAATGTGATGTCAGTCCTGTGACTGACAGAAATGTCGATGAACCAAAGACTAAAGATGCCTTTACAGGACAGCAGTGTGTTGTTTGTAACTCAGGGGATGAGGATGAAGAAGAAAAAGTGGAAGGAAAAGCAAAAAACCGGGGCGAAGATAAAGATAAGAAGAACAAAAAGGAAAGAAAACCTTCTTCTGCACAGAATGGCCCAGAGCACTTTGTGTGTCACACCCCTAAGGGGGGACTTTGCACAGATACACCGATTGCTGCTAAGAAAGGGAGGAGAGGGAAGCAGAACAAACAAAGGGCATCCCAGACAGGCAGTCATGGCGACTCCAGCCCTGAATCTGTAGACGATCCAAAGAAACCTTCTGTTCCATTAAATACAGCAGCAGATGGATGGTCAAAGGGGAACTCAGACAATTCTAAAGCTAAGAAAGGCCGCAATGCAAACAACAACTTTTCCGCACCCGACAGTCAACAGAGGACATCCGGGACAAACAAAGTTGATACTGGTTCACAGATGCAAGGGAATAACAGTCCCAGTCCTGATGTCAAAACTCCCAGCCATGGACACTCCAACTCTGCCACACTTACCCCAGACAATCTCAACATTGTGATGGCAATGAACCAAGACTTACAGCAGAAGCAGGAGGTGCTTGATAACAGACCACTGTCTGATAGTCAGAGAGGAATTACAGTGGACATTAATGACAACAACATAAACACAGGCCCTCCTACCCACAACGCCATATCATACTCCCTGACCCCACTGTCTTCCTCAACATCTCCTGTTTCCTCCTCTTCATCCTCCTCCTCTTTACCTTGTGCCTCAACAGAACCAGAGATTCATCTTGCCACACCTGTGCAGGAATCCCAACCTGTCCTCTCAGCCCAACAACAATCTTCACGAGCCACGTGCCACACCACCTTCCCCACATCACAGCGAGCCCCTGATTCCAGATTTCTTCCTAACAACAACCTCCAAGAGGTCACTGATGTTCTTTCTGCATCAAGCACATCTGCCACAAGTGTCTCTTCACCCTCATTCTCCACTGCCATGCCGCTAAGCCTGTTCCAAGCTACCCAGGAGTTGTCTTCACCCGGCTCGGGGACATTAGACCCAGTATGTCCTCCAGACTCTCGTTCCCGTCCTCAGTCTCGGTCATATTCACAGTCTCAGGCTAATGCCAACAACCAGCCTCACAAACAAACCAAGCAAGGTCACTCGTGGAGCACACAAGACAAATGCAGAGGTGAGTATACAAACGTTTGCTTATTATATTGATACCACAACATGCATGTTATAGTCAGTGTAGGCAACAGTAAAAGGGATTTGCAAGCTTAAAAAAAAAGAAATATTCCCCTGTTCTGTTGGATTTGAGAGCTCATAAAGTCAAATATAAGCTTTCTAACATTGAAATATGATATTCATTTTAAGGTCCTGGTTTGGCTGAAGAGGAGACGGACAGCGAGGATGACAGCGTACTGCCCAGACATGCTCAGAGATCCCTGTCCAGAGGAGTTACAGGAAGCAGAAATGGATTATTGCAGATTGAGTCTGGTGTAGCCAATCAACGGGAAATCCAACCTTTCTCTACCCACAAACTAACTGAGAGACAGTCGGGCTGTCCAATCAGCCACAGCCACAACATTTCTGAAGAGATCGACCTCTCCTTCAAAAACAACTGTGAGTAGAAATCTCCTTACATTTCTTTAGCTCTCTGTTCTACCCTTCTGTCTTTCTGCCTCTTTTCTCTTCTCATTCTGTTCATGCAGCCATTACAGCGACATTTATATGTGTCTGAATATAAACTAAACTGTGTGACAGATCACTTCTTGAATTAAGGATGAAGAGGTTTCTATCGTTGCCACCGGCACTTTGCATATGATGTAGAAATTGGATTTTATAATGAACACTCTTTATCAGCGTAGCACTAATGAGATAGACTCACTAATGCCCTCAATACATTTACTATGGATATTAGTTTCTCTGCCAGTATGGATGTAATGCACTTTGCTTTTATGCATGAATTTTGAATATGTCCTTGTGTAGGCTCCATACTGGCTTCCTGTAATGAGTCTGAGAGCGAAGGGTCGGTGCCTGAGCTGGAAGAACCAGAACCGCTGAGACCATCAGAGCCGCAGGTTAGTCTGTTTATGCAGCTTTATTGAAGACCATCTTTTTTTTTCAACATCTTTTGTACAAGTGTAACATTAATAAGAGGACATTATTAAATCTTATAATAACATCTATTTTAAGACACATAACAAGATATAGTTTAGAAGAAATTAAATTGGGTTGACACTGAAATTGTATTGAAAAATGGAACTTGGTTTTCCAAAATGCCAGATTGCAAAATCAGGGAAATTTTTTTCTATACACATCGACAACCTGAAAATGACTGTACAGAGTGTCTATGTAGAGACCTTGGTGTGACAAATTAACTGGAAAACTAATTACAAAATCATTCACATATTGTTTGCAAACTAAAGGAGAGAGAAGGCGAAGTTAGTAACATGCAGCGGTGCCATATAAATCTATGGAGAGGTGCTTGGTGCATCAAGCCAAGCCCTGCAGTACTTCTGGAAACTCTTGGAACCACAAGAAAGTCTGAGAATGATGTGCTGTATTAGGATAATATGGTACAAGAAGGTCTTTAAGATAAGATTGAGCTATGTCATTAAGGGCTTTGTATGTGAAGAGAAGGATTTAAAATTCTATTCAGGATTTTACAGCGAACCAGTGAAGAGGAGCGAATATGTAAGAAATACGATCGCTCTTACTGGTTCCAGTCAGTTCTCTTGGTGCATTTTGGATTAATAGGGAGGTTTTTTTGAGAGTTATTGAAACATCCCGATTATAAGGAATTACGGTAATAGAAGTAACAAATGCATGGATTAGTTTTTCAGCGTCATTTTGAGGCAGGATGTTCCTAGTTTTGACAGTTAAAGGTCATATTCTAGTCAAAAATAACTCCAAGGTACCTCACAGTGATGCTGGAGGTCAATGCAATGTCATCCAGAGCCACTATTTGGTTAGATAGTGTGTTTCTGAGGTGTTTCAGGCTAAACGCAATATAAAAGATATGTATATCCAAATACAGTGTACACTCCTTTCTTTCCTCTTGGACTGCTGCTAGTAGGTATTGATCTTTTTGTCAATTAGTGGCTGATGCTAGTGCTGAGTGCCCTTTTTGTGCTTGTGCATAAAGCAGAGCCAAAACAAGCGTGTATGATGTGGGTGTAACTTATAAGTAACTTATATTGGATTTTCTTTTCCAGTCTATCTCCTCTGCAGATGAAGGGCTGAACAGACCAAAACAGAGCCGCAGTGAGAAGAAGGCCCGCAAGGTCAGACTGCTGGCTGTATATGTTCAATAAAGTAGTCAAAGATAACATTGAACGGGATTATGAAAGGAGGTATTTAACTTGTGTAACTCTGTCCCTAACTCTCATTCTCTCTGCTTCCATATATGTATGTAGGCCATGTCTAAACTGGGTCTGAAGCCAGTCCACGGTGTGACCAGAATCACCATCAGGAAGTCCAAGAGCATCTTGTTTGTCATCAGCAGACCAGATGTATTCAAAAGCCCCGTATCAGACATCTATATTGTATTTGGAGAGGCAAAGGTAGGTTTTTATTGCCTTCTCCATTATTTACAGTGTACAACAGAGGTGAGTACATCCCTGTGCAATAAATGTGAAAAGGTTTGTCATTGTGTCACCTCACAGTAACTGCATTATTATTTTTATGCTGAACAGTATTTGCATGAAAAAAGTGACAACCAACTAAAAATCAATGGGAACAGAGGAATCAGGAGGTATAAAACAAGCCATAGTACCACTAATCAGAACTCCGGTGGCTTCATAGATTCAAAAATAGGCGAACAACTGCTTTAGACTCGGCATCAGTTGAAATCTGAGTTTTTTGTGACAGCTCATACAATGTAAAGGACATTACACAACATCAATCACTGTGGATGGCATTCGAAAAAATAAGCAAACACCCTTTAATACAAAAATTGTAGTATTAAAGAAGCCCGATAAATATTGGCAGCATATTCTTTCGTCAGATGATGAATATTTTGGGCTCAGATGGGTTTCACCATGTTTGTTATGAACCTGACCAGGACTACCACAGTGAATGCAAAGTCCTGACAGTGAAGCACAAAGGTAAGAGTGTGATGATGTGGAGTTTCATAACTGCAAACAGCATTTATTGATGACACCATGAATGTCTGTGGATAAACCAAAATACCGGCTAACAAGTCAACTCTCAGTCTGCAGAAACTTGGCAGAAGAGGAATATTCCAGCATGACAGCGATCCAAAGCACAAAATCACACAAGAGTTTCTTATCAACAACAAAATGAAGATTATGATCTGGCCACGTTGCCTGACATGAATCCAATAGGGAATTTTAAAGACAAAGGCAGAACAATGCAACCCCTCCACTTGAAAGTAATAGTATCTAAAGAATGGCAAAAAGAAAAAAAAAAGCTGTCCAGAAATGTGATATTTTCCATTCCAAGGAAGATTAAATCTGTAATGAAAAATAAAGGTGGACAAAAATAAAATAATCTCAGTAATGAAAGGGGACTGACTGTTTACTGTGGGGCCTGTATTTTTAATATAGTATATCTAAACAGTAAGTAAGAGCAAACACCTACTTACAGGTAATGCAGTTATTGAGAGGTGATGCGATTGAGAATCATTTTTTATTTCAGCGATGTTGCACAGGCGTGTGCTGACTTCTGCTGTGTACTGTAAGCTTCAGTGCATGCTCAGCGTTGCCTCTGACTCTTCCTCTGATTCCCTCTCTTCAGATTGAAGATCTTTCTCAGCAGGCTCACAAAGCCGCTGCAGAGAAATTCAAGGTGCCTGTGACCTCGTCTCCTTTAGCGCCACCTGTCCCACCCAGCCTCACCATCAAAGAGGAGAGCGAGGAGGAGGAAGAGGAGGTGCTCATTGTTTCCGAACGCCTACTGTCAGCACACGTTATCCGCACAATCTTAGTGCAACGTTAGCTTGAAAATCTCTCTCTTCCCACACTTTTAGGTGGACGAGGGAGGTCTGGAGCAGAGAGACATCGAGCTGGTGATGGCTCAGGCCAACGTGTCACGAGCCAAGGCCGTCCGCGCACTGAAACACAACAAGAATGACATTGTGAATGCTATCATGGTGAGGAAGGAGGAGGGAGGAGGAGGAGGGTGGTGGGGGGAGGAAGAGGGAGGGCAGATGGTGAACAAAATAATGAGTCATAGCCAGTGAGCAGGGAGGGAAGGTGTGGGGATGGAGGGCTGGAGGAGGAAGAGCAGAGGACAAATGACAAGTAGAATTTCTCCCCAGTAACTGAGTAACCTCTACAGTTGTGTAGGTCATCAGTGCAGCTTCGCGTCCACTAGATGGCAGCAGCGACTAACTGGGATGGAGTTGTTGACGTGACGCAGATAGTTTTATTTTCTTGATGTGGCGTAAAACACTACAAAGCTTTTTTTTTTAAGACAGATAGTTTAAAGTCTAGTTTAGTGAAGAACAAAAGCAGCAGTTTTTATCTTCACATGTATATTCACAGTTTCCTTCTTTACTTTCTCACAGGAGCTGACCATGTGAGCGGTGAGGACGTTGTGACTCCTGCCTCCCTTATTCCAGCCTATAAAGCCTAAAACACCACTGACTCTTCTGTATCGCTGCTGCTGTATGTTGCATCCCCCAATATCTGCTAAATAAAGTCTGTTCCAACGTGGGCTCTGACTGCACCGTGAGACTGGCCTTACTGAAAAGACCGCAAATACCCGAATCCTTTTTTTTCTTTTTGAACGTTTGAACAACTGACAAGACATGCAAAAGTCTTATTTCTCACCCACATCTTAAAGTTTTATAAAATGACATGTCTATGGTTAAAAACATCACTGATTGGGTATTTGATGCAGAAGAAATGTTATATTATCACATTCTGTTCATTATGACAGACAGAAGTGACAGATTTATATCATTTACTTTATTCAAATATATCTATTTTAAGCTTATGCATGTATAGTTAAAGGATTTAACATTAATTTATTATTAGTTTAATCTGTGGGATTCATTAGCGCAAAACAAATGAACTTCAGTGGGGGACTTCCTTTTTCACCACCATTTAAATAAAACATTTCTGCACCAATTTTTACTCCTGGGGATCAAATTTAGTTTAATAATATCTATAATGAGAATTTAAAATAATTATTCAATTCCCAATTAATTACATGAGCTTGAGTTGAATAAACCAAAACCATTTCCCTTTGTTAACCCTCTGAACCCGAAGCAGCTTCTGGCTGCTGTATGCTTCTGTCACATTTTTAATTCGATGTGGGCTCATTTTTCACTGCAACATAAAGTCCTGCACCTCTATGGAAACTGCACAGCCATGACTAGAAGTAAAGACAAATCAGAAATGTCTTTTGCACAGTGTGAAATACTTGTGGTATAAAATTTTGAAAAGTTGAAGTTTTTTAGGTTATGCAAAACTTAAAAAAAAAAATTAATCAACATGTACATTTTAAAAATGTTTTAAAGTGTTACCAAAAACTGTCTACATGCTAAAACATTTTACTACATTTTTAATTTGTTTCCATACTTGTCTCCTCTCTGCTCTGTGTAAACACAGCCTGCAGTTCAGAAGAGAAGCTGCTGAATTTTTAATCTGAAGTGACTGTTGGTTGCAGCTGAGTCACTGACTGGATTATATCAACAATCACACAATTTGTTTACTTTTTTTTTTTTTTTTAAACCAAATTTGATCATCACACACAGTTTAGTTTTAAACAAATCTAGAATGAGACATGTACATTAAAGTGATTTGTATGAATTTTAATCTTAGATCTATTTTTTCTGGCAGAAAACACATCACAGATAATATATTCCACGAACATCTGAAAGTTGAAAATCCATCAACTATTTCAGTTTTTATCGTTTCTGGCTCTGATTAATGAAGTAATTCTGGGGATTATTTTTTTTTCAATAATAGCATGTCTGTCAACCCCACCTTCAAAGGGTTTATGTGAGTACATGGTTTTAGACACTTTTGATAAGAGTCGGACTAACCGGGTTACATTATATTGCAGTTATGTACACAGTTTGAGCCTGGGTTACTTATATTTATTGGATGGAAATCGACCTGTCCAGGGTGTCCCCTGCCTTCGCCCTAAGTCGGCTGGGATAGGCTCCAGCCCCCCACGACCCTAGTGAGGATTAAGCGGTGTATAGATAATGGATGGATGGATGGAAATCCTGCACGCAATCTGATTAAGTTCTTTTTTTAAATTTTTTTTTTAAATGTGTGCAAGAGGGGGAAAAAAATGGATCCTAACTTTTTTTAGACGAGAAACATCACAAGCAGGCTGCATCCTGAAATGACCATTACTTATTTTAATGTTCTGGAGAGGCAGTCCTCAGTGGATGTGTTGGAAAATTCAATTTTCTCATTCCGTAATAATGTCACACAAAAAAAGAAAACGACGGCACAAACATGGACGGATGCCAAACGCATTTCTGTCAATCCATCAACTTTATTGTACAAAACTGATTAGAGCACAAGACATAGACATGGGACTGGAAATAACAGGAACATACCAGGCGCGCTGAGTCATCAGCTTCAAACTGCAAGCAATGACGATGTGTTAATGCGTATCATCTGTCCATTTAACGGAATTAGCGCCCACTCTTACTAAAAAACAGATGTGAAGGTATCTTGTGTTTCAGTGTGTGAAATTATAGAAAAGCTGTTGGCATTAATGAAGGAAATACAGTCACAACTAGTCAGAGGAAATGTTTTGTTAGCGATGTCAAAGAGCAGTGATTCTTTTTTTTTTTATCAAACGCAGGCCCCCCTTTTTAAACCACAAACATAAGTGCTTTTCATCTTTCAAAATCCATGAAGGTTTGGTTCTCTCCCAGGCAAGAAGTGGTGCTCTCCTGAGTATTCTCCAGTGTCTAGCAGTGCAGGCAGATAACTTCTCTCCTGGAGGACGGAATAAATGCCTTTGGCCATGAGTCAAGGGCCCAGTGCGTCTTCAGGAGGTGGTTTTAGCTGGGAGGACGTTATTCTCAAAGTGTCCCTGGTTGGTGATGTTCCCAGCTGGGGAATATCTGGCCACCACAAAGGAGGAACCATCTGACGCGATGGCCTTACCGACCCCCAGCTCTTTAGTGCTCTTCCACACCATCGCTGTGAAATGGCCTGTGTGACGAATGAAAAATAATAACCAGTGAGAAATTTCAAGGTAGGCGAACTGGGGAAGAGCGAGAAAACATGCCATTAGGACACGGTTGAAGCTGAGTGCACGCGGTTTTAGGTTCATCTAAATATTTAGAGACACAGGAATCTTAACTCCTAAACCGTGTCCGCTTAATCCCGTCTCTTTTTCTTTCCCGTCTGAATCAGTGTGACTCACTGACTCACAAACACTCGTGAACCGAGGCTACGGGAGAGAACATCTGGAGGAATTAGGGCAGCCTGGATATG